AGTATTAACTTCCCATTCCTCAGGCAGATCTTGGGAACCAGAAACAGTGGAACCGAAATGTTTTGGCAAAGTGTGAATGGTGTGGGTTGCTACATTGAAGGAGGAAAAGGCTATTACAGAGATCTTTGTTTTAATCTGGTTGGGACGGTCACCTCCTCTTGGTTTTCCTGTTTGCTGGGGGGTTGTGGACACTAGGATTCAGATTCCCCATATACGTCATTATCCTGTTTTAATAAGGAGGGGTAGGCACTTTCCTGCTTGGTGTATCCTCTGTTCTCTGTGAGTCTTGTGTGACTTAGACACACTATATTTATGATTCTATTCATCTTTCTATGTCCACCTGAAAATTTTAACCAAACGCTTTGCTGACTTCTTTAAAAAAACAATTTTTTTCCTCTCTTTACAGTACCAGGAAGTCAGAATCCTGAATCCATTGCAAGTTAACTAACATTTAATAAACGTATGTTTTGTTTCAGATGTTAGTCCAAAGTTCTGGAAATGCCAAGGGAATAAGACAGCCTCCCTGGAGTTAGGGAGTTTGTTGAATTAGATAGTATAGGCCATACTGTAAGAAATACAATGGCAAAGATGTGTGAAGGAAAGTGATCATGGCAGTTTTGGAGAGATGATTATTCTGGCTATGATAGATTTTAAGGTAGGAAATGGTTCAATGCAAGAAAATCAGTTGAAAAAGTCATTGCTGGGAAAAAATTGCTGAATGCCTAAAGTAGGAGATTCAGTGAGGGGGAAAAGTGAAGTCCAACCTGATCAGGTTTTAAGTTGTGAAGAGATTCAGAAAACCTCTGAGGCGGCCATCTTGAACAGCTGTTTGCATGTTGATAATTATAAAAAATAAAGCGGAGTAAAAAAAGTCTTTGCACATGTTGAGCGAGAGGTAAAGACACTCATTAGGCAATTGGAACTATGAGAGGATAAATGAAATATATAGACTAGAGCTATGGATATGTATTGAGATGCCATGCATGGATGAGATTTCCTGTAGAGAATATGCATGGAGAGAAAGGTGCAAAGAGAAATCCCTTTGCGACATGATCACTTAAGGGATGGACAAAAAAGATATTATGGGGCCTCCTTGGTGGTTCAAGGAGTTAAATCTCAGCACCATGAAGCTATCACCAGACACTGCAGCACAAGTTTGATCCTCGGCCAGGGAGCTACCCACATGGTGCAGCAGACCTCTCCTGTCTCACCTGCTTCTCCCCTCAGCAGGGTATTTCAGTAGATCCTCCTGTTCCACTCCCTATTCTGTCTCTGGTGAATCTTCTTTCCTCAACACCTCTGGGCTAAACCCCAGTGCTTGTATGCATAAATAAATAAATCTTTAAAAAAATATATTGTGGACTGTGAAGGAGAAGGAAGATGAGTGGTCATGAGAACAAAAGAAAAGGGAGAACCAAGAAGTGAAATCATGGAATCCAAAGAGGCTTCTGAGACAACTTGGAGTGGGGCATCAATTCTATAAGATACTACAATTAGGCAGTGCCTCAAGTAAGATTTATGACCTAAATGCCAATTTCCAATCCTGATTAGAACCACTTTTGTAGTGTCTGAATTTGACTTTATGAATTATCATTAGAAAACAGCCAACCATCAGGGCCTCCCCTGGTGGCGCAGCGGTTGAGCGCTGGGCTGCGAAGCTGTTCCATCCCCGGCCGCCAGCGAGGGTCCCACATGGCACGCAGACCTCTCCTGCCGCCCGCTGCTACCCTCAGCAGTGTATTTCGTCAGTCTGCTTGTTCTGTTCCCCACTCTGGCTCTGGTGAATTTTCTAACTCTCCTGTGCTTCTGACTGTACCCAGTGCTTGTATAAATAAATAAACAAACAAACAAACATACAAATAAATAAATAAAAACTCAGCTTAATTAAAAAAAAAAAAAAAAACACAACCAACCTTTGATTGAGGCCTGAGAGGAGCTATGCTGGGTAGGGAGCTGAAGGCCAAAGCACCATTCATTCCACAAATGAAATAAATGGTTATAATATCTTCCTAATCTCTGGCATTGTTAAAGCACTTGACTTGAATTAATCCATTTAATTCTCACAGCAAACCAATGAGGTAGGTATTAATACCCTCACTCTCACTTTACAGATGAGGAAACTGAGGCACAAAAAGGCACATTAATCTGTCCAAATCACAGTTAGAACCCCAGGCCCCAAGAATTTATTTATTCTAAGAGACATGATAAGAAAAATTTACCATCTTAAGGACTTTACTGTAAGAATTGAGCCCAGTCAGAAGTGCATTGTATAGCACAGACAAGGTGGCTTACAGATGTGGAAGAAGAACTGAACTACGAGACCACAGTTCTATTCCCATTTCTGACACCAACCGTCTGGCCTCCCCAGACCTGTTAACTAATCTGTAAAATGGGGTATTGGGTCCAACTGTTCTCTAAGATCTCTGAAGCTGCAATCTTCTAATTGGAGGAGTGGCTGGATATGAATTTTGGCTCTCGATAGCTTGCCCAGATATTAAATAACTTACTCCTGTTCAGACAAAATTAAGAATCTCTGTCAGCACATGCCATGTCAAGTGACCACTGCGGTGCCTGCCGCCAACAATCTTGTGACCCTATCTCTTTAAATCTTAATGTCTGTGGGCAACAGGACTGCAGGGAAATCATGGCCAACCAATAAGGAGAATTTATCCATGGTGCCTACATTAGCAAGGACAATAGACCTCTGAAAGTCTTCTCAGAGAAGCAGCTCGTGAGACTCATCTAGAAACATTAGCATGCTGCTGACCAGGTGGTGGGAAGGTCACTGGGACAGGAGACAAAGAACATCCAGCACAACCCTTTCTCGGGGATTTCGAACAGCCTCTAATCAAGCATGGTCCAGTGCCCTACTTCAGTGCTTCATGGAGATCCATGGCAGTGACCCAACTCTAAACACTTCGAGCCCATTTATGCTGATTAGGTCTGCATTCTTTGCCTTTCTACTGCTTTTTGTTTCTTTTCTTTTCCTTCTTTGTAGCCAATATAATTACACAGCTCTCCTTCCTCAGCTCCCATTCAACTGGTCCCGGTTCTGTCACTTCTGATTTCATGTTGGGACTTTCTTACCAGCCATTCCCAGTTGTTGAAAGGACCTCAGAGAGAGCGACCGGAGTGTCAGCTCTCTCCCTGCTCTGTCATCCCAAAATGACTTTAATAATTTCCTTGAGATCATTTTGGTACAAAGGATCAGAATCTTATCGTGTGTAACTCTTTAATTTAAAATTACAGGGCACCCAAAAGAAGATAAACAGGAGATTTTAGGATATGACACCCTTAAATGGTTCTTCAAACCAGGATACAATGCTGTGTGATTTTATCTTTATGTAATATGAATTCTTAATTGTCAGAAGGAACCCAAAGCTTCCTAGATTATAAGTACTAAGTAAAACTTTCTCCTGGACCTCAACAACCATAGTTTCCCTTCTGCTTCTTTTCCCACTTTCCTGTCTAAGTCACAGACTTCTAGGATTTTATAACTGTCAAGAACAAGAACAAGAACTTTAACCTTCTTCTTAAAGAGCATCACAAGACTTCCTGGGTACTGACCTCTATGACTTATGTCCTTAGGTTACATACATACATATTAAGAGGAACTTGACTAACAGAGAAAAGCTAGGACCCTTCCCAACTGTTGACAGAGTAGAGATCCCTCACATAGCACAGCATCTCCATAGCAACCAGCCAGCACACAGTGTAGAACTTGTGGCTGCCGGCATAGTACAGGGGGAGGGAGGTGATTGATGTATGTCAGTTACAAAGGAATGAAAAATAGAAGATTGAAAGATCAAGTAAACATTTCTAGAGAAGGAAAAAGAGGAGAAATCCTAACAGAAATTCTACCAATATGTAAATCACCAACTTGCTTCATCCAATCAGCAACTCTTTCTCCCACAAATGATCATCTTTGCCAGGATATTAGTGAAGCACCAGAGAGATCACTTTTAGTTTTCTGTGAGTCCTTAGGATGAATTTACAATGTTCCCTGACTCTTCCATGCACTTGGAAGGAGCAGGCATGTGGTAATGGCGGCCATCCTGCTGTGAAACATTTCTAATGCCAAGAAATGAAATCTTCAGAGCCTTTGAAAGGCTTCCAAGAATGTCAGCACTGACTGCCTGCCCACTCTCCGCTGACTGCCTACTTTGGCTGTCTTTTTAGTACTGAATGTGCCAGAGAGGCCTTCATACAAAGAGAGAAAGTGTTTTGGGCTCATGAAAGGGGAAAGCTTTCTAATGTGAATGGTGAGATTCAACAATCTGGTGATAAAGTGGCTGGGTGAGAAGGGGTCTTCTTTTCATACATCTTCAGGTATGAAAAGAAAACAGAAAGAGATGGCATCTGTCTTCATATTATAGATTCCTTGTAGATCCTTGTTGTCAAACCTGGAGAAGACTCAGACTACGTCACCCTGTGCTCTGTTTGATTATCATGGGAGAGTCCCCCTGTTTCCAAGGATCAACTGAGCATAAGAACTAATTAAGCCCTACTAAAGCATGAATAAGTGTACTTTTATTTCTACTTTAATACCAAATTCTGTTTACTTGGGATTTGCTTTGAATCTTTTTACCTCCATTGTATGAAAAAAAAATTGAGAAATGTTGATTTTAGCACATCTTAATATTTTATGTTTTATCGTTTGAGTTGGCTTCGAGAGGAAGAAAAATGTTTTGTACAGTAAACCATTCTCTGTCTCTTTAACGGTACTACTCATAATTCCTTGGCACAGCAAATACTGCAAGAGGAAAAAACTTGTGGTGCTGTGAGCTTTTCCACGGAGCAGTCTGATGTCACTGGTGGCAGACACAGACATACCCTTCTGTCTTTTGTCTACAACATCTGTTTTTCTCCTTACAGGCTGTTGTTCATATATAGTCTTCTCTCCTTTGCAGGTAGTGCCTCCCCATGAGAGCATGGGCTTTAGGTGTTAAGAGGACTAAAAGAATATTCTAACATGATTTCCTCTGTTCTCTCCTTCCTAGAATCTTATGGCAAAAGCATTATATGACAATGTCCCAGAGTGCGCTGAGGAGCTGGCCTTCCGCAAGGGAGAGATTCTGACTGTCATAGAGCAGAACACCGGAGGCCTGGAAGGATGGTGGCTCTGCGCCTTACATGGTCGGCAAGGCATCGTCCCGGGCAACCGGGTGAAGCTTCTGATTGGTTCTATGCAGGAGCCTTCGTCCAGTAAAGACCAGACCACTTCTGGACTGATGCACCAGAGCTTTGGCCAACAGAAACTGTATCAAGTGTCAAATTCACAGGGTGCCCCAAGAGACAATATCTACCAAGTGCCACCTTCCTACCAAAATCAGGGAATTTACCAAGTACCCACTGGCCATGGTATCCAGGAGCAAGAAGTATATCAAGTGCCACCATCAGTGCAGCGAGGCATTGAGGGAGCTAATGGTCCCCATTTAAGTAAAAAGGTGAGTGATCAGCTCACTGTGTTTTTGTTCTACTTTTTTCCCCATTGCACTAGGAATAATAGAAATGTTCCCAAAATACGAACTTGAAATTTCCAAGTAGTATATCTAGTACCCTGGCTCAGGCATTATTTTTGCATCATATTTCTATTCATTCATTGGCAAAATTTTCTTGAATTGCTACTATATGCCAGATACTGTTGATTCACAGTCATTATAAATTCCTGTCATTCTGGGTTATACTAGGTTTTTATATTATTTCTCTCCATCTGTCTGGTAGACCTACTTTGAGACCTACCTTCTGCACTCAAATAATTTCTAGTTTTTTCTATGTTTTCTTTGAGTAGTACAAGGCACCCAATTTTGTATAAGCACAGTCATGCAGCAAGAACCCACCTTTCACCAAAAGCTGACTCAGGACCTCATTGGCCTGGCTGTTCCAAGAGCTCACCAGACATAGAGGTGCTGAGGAAGTCTAGAGAGGGTCATGCCAACCAACTTGTTCTGTGGAGTTATTCACTTAAAATTTTAAAACACAGAGATAATCATAAATTTAGAAAGGAGCCATCCATCCACTTGTCATTCAAGTAAGTCCTATAAAGTATCTGAGTAAGAATAGTGGAGTTAAGATAGGAAATCTTCTTGTTAGGGAAAAAAGAATAAATGAACTCTCCAGAACTCTATCCTTCTAAAACGGCATAACAATTTGAGAGAAAAAGAAATTTCATTTACTGAATGACTTTTAAACACCTCATGTATTTTTCATGCTTGTAATATAAGTCCTCATGATCCATTGTAGTGGGAAGACATAAGCCAACACTGCAGTGCCAGGTGGATGTATGTGCTGGGGAGAAAATAACATCAGTAAACTTAGTGGGAGGAGGAGAGACAACACCAAGATAATGCTTTTGTGAGAATTTCATAAGAGGACTTTTCTCTTTTGTTGACTGATAAATTCCAAGGGTGAGTATTAGGAATGGACTGATTTAACAGAACAAAAAAAAGATCCCTGAATTACAAGAGAAAAGATGTAGTTAGATGCCAGAAAAATCTAATTGATGCCTCAAACACTACATATAGGTGTGTCCTACATCAAAAAATTATACAAAGTTTGAATTTACAAGCCCATGTAAATTAGGGGATATCTATTTGCATGATAATGGGTCCTCTGTTGAAAACAAGGGGAGGAGGGACTTTCTACTGGATTTCTTTAAATAGCAAAATCATAAATGCATTTTAAGATCACCTTTCATACAGAAAGTATGTTTTACAAAACAGTTCTCAAGAGCACAGCATGTTGTTTAAGTCATGTATATATACATTAGAAGGAATTTCTCAAGAAGTGGTGAATAGTTTTCCGACTTGAATTGTACTGACCCCATCTAGAAGTGACAGACTGACTGCTGCATGACCTTTCAAAGTCCTTCTTACCCAGGAATTTTAGACTCAAAGAGAGAGCTAAGCCAGGCCTTTATCTCTAGGGGGGGAAAGAACAGTTGAAAGGAATAACTATAAATAAATTACTTCTCCCAATCGTAGTACTAGTTGTTTGCACCTTAAAAATAACTCTTCCTCATTTAAGCTAGAGGGAGGCAGATGGGGGAGACCAGAACAGGAAATGCTTGGCTGAAAGGTGGTGGAATCTGAACTTTCATCAATTTGTTTTGGCAAGAAGGTGACATGTTTTTCTTTTCAGACTCAACCTTTTTAGTTCCAAGACTAAAATGTCTAGAACATCAGACCTCTTCCCATTTTATTTGCTGTAACTGACCATAGTTTTGCTCCTTGGTTCTCCATCCCTTTAGAAGGGACTCTGGTCAATCCATGTTAGGGTGCTGGGTTACCCTTGGGTGCTCAAACTCATTGTTCTTTTTGCTTTCTTAATTTTATTTTACTTTTTTAAAGATGTATTTATTTATTTATGCAAGCACTGGGTACAGTCAGAAGTGTGGGAGGGTGAGAGAATTCATCAGAGCCAGAACGGGGAACAGAACAGGCAGACTGACGAAAAACACTGCTGAGGGAACAGCGGGCATGGCAGGAGAGGTCTGCGCACCCCGTGGGACCCTCGCCGGTGGCCGGGGATCAAACCAGCACTGCAGAGGCTGCGGGCAGCTTCGCAGCCCAGCGTTCAACTGCTGCGCCACCGGGGGAGGCCCCTTGCTTTCTTAATTTTAAAACAAAGGAACATAGTGTGTTTAACAAAAAGTAGATGATGCATGTGGGAGGAAGCCTACTTCTGAAAAGGACCCTTGCCTGCCCTCACAGGGTTGCAGCCAAACCTGATGGAGGCCTGACCAGAGCTAAGGAGTAGATAGTGCATGGAACATGGAGCTTTTGAGCAGTCAGGGTCTAAGGTGGTAACAGGAAAGGAGATATAGGGACAGAAAAAGATAGAAACAGCAAGAGATTGGTCCTAGCTCTTCCTGAAAACATCAAGGGTTGGGCCTCCCTGGTGGCACAGGGAGTTAAGTAGTAGCACTATGAAGCTGTCCACAGCCACTGCAGCACGAGTTCGATCCCCAGCCAGGGAGCTACCCACATGGCACAGCAGACCTCTCCTGACTCACCCGCTGTTCCCCTCAGCAGTGTATTTCAGTGGATCCACCTGTTCTGCTCCCCACTCTGTCTCTGGTGAATCCTCTCACCTCCCACACCTCTGACCTGTACCCCAGCTCTTGTATGCATAAATAAGTAAAATCTTGAAAACAAACAAACAAAGAAAAAACACCAGATGTTCTCCTGGCCTCACCTTAAAGTCCCGGCCTACCTCCTCCTTTCACGGGACCATTGCTTTCTCCTTTCCCCACCCCTTTCTCCCTCTAGTTCCTCCCCTCCTCCTTTCCCTCTTACCCTTCCTCTCTTCTATCCCTTCTGTCCTCTTTCCCTCTCTTCCTCCTTTCCTTCTTTCTTTCCTCCCTCCCTCCCATGGAGAGAGCTTGGCTGCTAAAACATACTTTTATCCTTCTAGGCAACAGCAACTGTTCTTAAAACTTAGATAAAAATCTCCCTCCCAATAGGTTTTCACACTCATGATCTTTGTGGGTGAGAATCTCACCAAGGACTTAAGCTAAGACTGTAAGAGTTAATCCTGCTTCAGTGGGGATCAAGAGGGCTTTTGAAACTGTCCGCAGTCTCTGCAGCACCAGTTCGATCCCGGCCAGGTGGCGAGGGTCCCACATGGCGTGGCAGACCTGTCCTGTCTCACCCGCTGCTCCCTTCAGCAGTGCATTTCTGCACAGAACAGTCTGCCGAATGTTCTGTTCCCATCTTTGTCTCTGGTGAATCCTCTCACCCTCCAGCACATCTGGCCTGTACCCTGGTTCTTGCCTAAATAAATAAATAAATAAATATTTTCTAAAAAAAGTTGTTAGAGAAGAAAAAGGAGGCAGTGAAATCCTTTCCTGAGCTACTCAAGTGTGGTTTTAAAATTTTAGGGAACATAACAATCACCTGGAGAGGTAGAGTAGGTGAGTTAAAATGCAGGTTCCTAGGCAGCCATTCTCCTGAGAGATTCTACCCAGAGCCCAGGAGTCTATATTTTAATAAGCTCCTGGATACCTAGGAGGGTGTGGTCCAGGAATTGCACCTAGAGGAATGCTGTGAAGGGGCCACAGAGGGGTTGGCTCGGCTCCAATCTGATTGTAATTTGGGACTTTCCATAGTTAAAGATTTCCTTGATGCTGCTTTAGACTGTGGGCTCCAGAAGTTATATCCACCAGTTTGTCCTACTATGAATCACTTAAAAAATATACAGTGAATGAATTCTGCCTTCTATCTCTTCAGCTTGCTCACGGGGAAACTCCAGCCTCTACCCACCTCTTTGCATGCCATCCACTTTAAATAACATTCATCATTTATTAAATCCGTGGTTAGAGAAAGAAAGATGATCATATAATCCCCACCCATTTTTGGAACAAGAGGAATGTGTCAGTATTATGTAAAGAGCGTGGGCTTTAGGATTCTGTTTCTTCATAGCTGTATATCCCTTGACAAATTACCAAACTTCTCTAGGGTTTGGTTTCTCCATGTGTAAAGGGGAATAATGATAACTAGCTCATAGGATTGTGGTGAGCATGAAACACAAACAGTATATAAAAAGGACCTGCCACAGTGGTTAGCACAACAGGGCTTAAAAAATAGTTCCTCTACCCTTGTTTTGTCTTACTTTTTTAAGGTTTTATTTTGAACGGCATCAGCCTTGTTTGTGTTTCCTAATAAGCACTGAAATGCAAATATTTTACTGCTAACACATGCTGTTTTGTTGGAGTGCATGGCTCTCTACAAGAATTTTGCATGGAGTAGAAAAGAACTCTCAAAGTTAACTGGAAACCATACACAGTGAAACCTTTGCTTAATTTCATTGGGTTTTTTTACTCTGGATTTGGTGCATTTTACCCATTAGGCATTGTAGGCAGAATGCCCAGGGCCTATGAAAATGTTGGAGAGCTGAATAAAAAATTTTGGTTACATAATATGAAACACAAAAACTGCAAAATACAAATTAATAAACATTTAGACAAATGTGTAGGAAATATAATGTCATCCTCATTAACTATTCCATGTAGGGTTCATAACTATTTCATTACATTTGAAAACATTTTGTAAATTAGATATTTCTCACTTTGCAAAGATTTCTGACTATGCTCTGTGATTGCCAAAAACTCACAGATGATTCTAAATTAAATGACTTACTCATAGTTCAATAATTTGAAAAGCTGAATTATATTTTTATAAAATGTTTTCAGTTTTTAAAAGCAAAGATTCTACTTAATATGGAGTATGGTTTAGAGTAGAGTTCCCAAACACACAAAAGCCTAAAGTCTACAAAGTCTGAAAATAGCCTCATTTCTTTGCTTCAACAATCAGTAAAGCAGCCACTTGAGATCATCTATTTCATGCTTGATTGTATAAGTAATTGTATGTGTTCCTTTGATTAATCTTTAGACATGTTGCTTTTATTCTAACTGGTGGAATTAAATTTGCTTTGCATCCTTTGAACC